AGGCCCGGTTCCGGCTGCGCTTTGTTAGGCCCCACGGAGGCGGGTTTACATGCGTGCCTGCCTACTGCTCGGGTGAGGGCCGCCCGTCACGGCTCGTGGGACTGCGCGGGCCGGGGCGACGCCGCGAGGGCGCGACGGGCATTGGGCAGGGACGCCTGTCCGCCCGCCTCCGTGTGGCCTAACAAAGCGCAGCCGGAACCGGGCCTCGGTATACGTGCGGACCCCCTTTCTCTCGGAGCCAAGTGTGGTGGCTTTGTGTTGTTTCTTGTTTTCACAGCCTCATATCCCCCCCTTTTTTTCTTTTTTGTTCCCTCCCTGCAGCTAGTTCATTGAAAGCTGTCAGCCCCTCAGGGAGCTGGTTTCTATCAATATGAATCTTTTCAACTTGGACCGTTTTCGCTTTGAGAAAAGGAATAAGATTGAGGAAGCTCCCGAAGCAGCCCCTCAGCCCTCCCAGCCCGCTCCATCATCACCAATTTCTCTTAGTGCTGAAGAGGAGAATGCTGAAGGGGAAGTTAGCAGGGCAAACACCCCAGACTCAGATATAACTGAAAAAACAGGTGAGTTACAATGTTGCAAACTGATAGAGCATCCTGAGGTGACCGAAAAGAGGAAGTGGTGGTGCTACCTGATAGCAGACCGATACATTGTCTCTGGTTTTGCCCTTTGAAACACAGCCAGCGTTGGTACTGCCATAGGCACCAAGTACCTGCCAACCGAGCACATCTCCATTGTTATTTCACACGTAGGAGCTCTTGGGATACCGCAGCACAATGATGGACGCCGAAAGCCTAGTTTCCAGGAGTCTTAGGTCAAAATGGCTACTCAGAGAGCGATGTAGGCCGTCCTCCTGTTGTGGGGTAGACCTTGGGGTCAATTTGATTACAGGTTTTCATTCATTCTAATATTCCTTTAGATTTTTTTCCTACCTCTTTTTGTTTGAGACAGAATCTGATTGTGTAGCTTTGAGCTGCTGTGAAACTCACGTTGTAGACTGGGTGGCTTTGAAATTGTGATCCTCCTGTCTCTGCCTCCCAAGTGCTGGGATTACAGCCACGTGTCACCACACCTGGTATCCTTTCCTGGCTTTTTGAAACTGGGCGCTTGCTGTGTATTCCACTGCAGCTTGCTATTCACTGTGTAGCCCAATATGGCAGGGAACTCAAAGCAGTACCCCTGCCTCGCCCTCTCCAGTGCTGGGATTTCAGCCATGGTTACAGGCTTGACCCGCCTCAGATCACCTCAGTGAGCTAGATGCATCAGATGCTTAAAGATAACGTCTCTGTCCAACTAAAGATTAAGTATTGCTTCCAACAGACGCCATGGAAATCTCTAGAATTCATTTGAGTAGTTTTCGTTACTGTTAGTGAATAAAGCATTTTAAATCAGTGTCGCAGGTTGTTAGGGACCATCAGCTGAGGAAAGTGAGTCCCAGATGAGGATTTTGGAACAAGGATGTAACCCACACAGCATGTTGTGGAGGTTAGAGAACAGTTTGAGGCATCGGCTTTCTCTGCATCGTGGTTCTCTGGGTGGAACTCATGGTGCCAGTTTTGTGGGGCAAGCACTTTGTTTGCCAACCCAGCTCACTGACCTCAAAATATTATGAACTAATTTTTTAGGTATAGTTAGTGGTGTTTCTCATTATGTTATTTAATAATCCTGTAAGGTAAATAGTCAGATTTTTGGAAAGGAGACTCAGGGAGGTTAAGTTTTAAGAGACTTTACACGTTCTGATTGTTGAGGGTGAGCCACAAATCATATTAAGCACCTTCCTTTCTTCCTCCATCCCTCCCTCCCTTTCTTTTTTTATTTTGTTTTTGTTTGAGACAGGCTTTCTCTGTGTAGCACTGGCTGTCTTGGAACTTCCTCTGTAGATCAGGCAGTCTGGAACTCAGAGATCTGCCTGCCTCTGCCTCCCAATGCACGTGCCGCCACCACCACCTGTTTCTTTTTCTCCCCCCCACCCCAAGACAGGATTTCTTGTGTAACAGTCCTGGCTGTCCTGGAATTCTCTTTTTAGACTATGTTGGCCTTGAATTTACTAAGATCCACCCGCCTCTGCCTCTGGGTGCTGGGATTAAAGGCGTGGGCCTCTACTGCCACCCAGCTAGACAGTTTCTTAGGATTGTGATGGTAATGTTGGAAGTTTTAGTTTCTGTTTCAATAACATATTTCTGATGGCAAACAGTATATCAAAAACTTTTAAATTAGTATGGCCAGAAAGACTGTTAGCATATGTTTTTACCCATTGTACTGGGTGGTTTTATGCCAACTGGACACAAGCTAAAGTCTTGTGAAAGAAAGGAAGGAACTTCAGTTAAGAAAATGCCGTAGATCAGGCTGTAGCTAAGCCTGTAGGGCATTTTTTTTTAAATTTAGTGATTGATGGGGGAAAAGCCCAGCCCATTGTGTATCATACCACCCCTGGGCAGGTGGTGGTGGAATCTATAAGAAAAGAGGTGAGCAAGCCATGAGGAGCACCCCTCCATGGTCTCTGCATTGATTCCTATCTCCAGTTCTCTGCCCTGTTGGAGTTCCTGTCCTCGCTTCCTTTAACTATGAACTATATGGAGTATTGGCCAAGTAAACCTATGTCCTCCCCAGCTTGCTTTTTGGTCTTGGTGTTTCATGGCAGCAAGAGAAACCCTCAGTGAGACACTCAGGTATCTTTTTGTTTGCTATTCTTTCACTGGAATGCAACATTAATGGCTGATTACAATTATTCTTAAAATAACCTTTTCTCTTTGAGACAGGGTCTTAGGCAGCGCCTGTAGCCTTGAATTTGATAGGGAGAGGAAACTGGCCTTTCCCTGGTCTTGACACTACAGGAGTGTTGGGCAGCCCTCCCATGAAGCTTAGGAGAACATTTTAAAAAGACTTGGATGTAATTGAAACTTCGTGGATTAAGAGTCATATTAAAGATTTCTAAAGGCTTTGATTTATTTAACTGGAAGGATTTTAAGCCCAGAATTGACATGTTTTTCTTTTCTATTTTCTATTTGAATTGCATGAAAATGGCTGTATGTATGTATTATGTATGTCTATGTCTGTAGTTAATGTATGTAGTTAATGTCTGATGTCCAGGTAATTTTCCAGTAGCTATGTTTTTTTTGTTTGTTTGTTTTTGTTTTTTTCTAGACAAGTTTTCTCTGTAATCCTGGCTGTCCTGGAACTCAGAGATCTAACTAGTAACTCTAGTACTGGGATTAAAGAAGTGCACAACCACTCAGATATACTCAATTTTTTAAGAAATAGCCTAGGCTGGCTTTGAACATATTTCCCTTACTATTTATTTATATTTATGTATTCATTTACGTGTTTATTTTTTGAGACAGGGTTTCTCAGTTAGGCTTGGCTGGTCTGAAACTCATTGTGCCGAATAGGCTGGCCACACAGATCACAGATCTGTCTGCCTCTTTGGGGATTAAAGGTGTGTTTTAATCCCAAAACCCCATTTTGCTGTTTATTATTTATTTGTATAGGTGAGGTTGAGCTTGTGTGTGTGGTGTTCGTGCTTCTGACATACATGCCTCCTGGTTGCCTGGAGAACTGTGGGCCGGCACACCAGGGTTCAGGTTTCAGGCTTCAGTGGGTCAAGAAAGAACTAGGTGTAAGTAGGACATTTTGCTTGTCTCTGCTTCATTTTAATTAAGTGCGCATTGGGTGAGAATTTTTAAGTCTCATCTCTGAAAGTAAAAGTGCTTTGTAAACAAGATTTCAGTGCAATGATTTAGGTACTTATCAATACTGTTAATATGTATGTATTTTGTGCTTTGCTTCCTTAAAACTTTATTTATTTATTTATTTATTCCCGAGACAAGGTTTCTCTGTAGCTTTGGAGCCTGTCCTTGGACTAGCCCTTGTAGACCAGGCTGACCTCTAAGTCACAGAGATCCTCCTGCCTCAGCCTCCCAAGTGCTGGGATTAAAGGCGTGCACTACCACTGCCTGGTGGTTTTCCTAAACTTTTTATTTATTGTTGGGGCCTGTTTGGAGGTGAGAATACAGTTTGCTGGGGTCAGTGCTCTTCTTCCATGTGTGTCTTGAGGATTGAAATTTGCTACTTCATTTGCTAAGCTGTCTCACCACCCTCTTTAAAAAGGATTTATTTTTGTGTTTTGGCTGCATGTATGTGTGTGCATGAGTGTCCCTAATGTCTACAGAAGCCAGAAGAGGGCACGGCTCAGCAGGAGCTGCAGTTTCGTATGTGTTAGCCTCTTCTGAGGAGGGAGAACCGAAAGGACAACATGGCCTTCTAGCATCTGAGCCATCGCCTCATCTCCCTCTTTTTTATTAATATATGAAAAATTTAATTGCGTCTTCCAGGGGTGAGGATGAAGCTTACTATTAGCATACCTGCCTGTCCTGCATGAG